CCTTGTATTGCTCTGGCAATTAAGTGGCACGCACATTCAGCTCAGATCATGAGGTGGTTCTAAATTGTTGCAATTTGGGTCTGAGAATGGTGGCATCCATTCGAATGTACCACCAGCGAAAAATAAACAAGACCATAGTTTCATACTACAAAAATTATAGAAGGCTACCATGTTGGTGAAATACAACAGCATGCACTTTAGAATAAATTGAAGTTGTCCACACATAATTAGGCACAGGCTTCAGGGGCTTGCTTGAACACTGCTTGCTCAAATCTGACGCCTGGTGCGCGACACATACATGTTTCTTTTTTTTTTTTTTTTTGTCGGGGAGTTGGGGGATCCGATATTATGGTGATTTATCAATAATGGAATCGTTCACATTCAGCAGGCACACCCTCACTTTCGTTATTATGAAATAGAGAAGGGGCAACAGTGTCACAAAATGATCAGAATGCATTTATCCTCTTTTATGCAATCTTTGTCCATTTACTCTTTCCATGTAAATTGATGCTTACCAATCCTCCCCACTCATCAGTTTGTCATTTGCTGTATGTTGGCCCTATACAACCAATTTCAGATGTGAAGCATCTTACGGTCGAGTTCACTCTGGTGTGCGGTGTGACCACCCTTACTGACCATGCATGTCCCCTCCCACTCTCTTGCCTTGCAATGCTTACACAGCTAGTGTCTGCTAGTTAGTTTCTTGGTTAAAGAATCTACAGCTCACGCTGCACAACCATTCACTGGTCACCCCGTATATATAGGCACTGGATCTTGACCTCCATAACTTCATTAACAGCTCGAATAGAGGGGAGGTGCCATGCTTTGACCCTCACTTTTCGAGTTAAAGCGATGGCGTCAATTTAGAAAACAGCGGCATTGCAGCAGCGATAAAACGATAGAGCATATTCTGTGTCACTACCCATGCTACTGCGTGCACAAACTGCCGCTAGCTGCTGCATTAGCCCACCTTAATGGAAGACCCTTGTAAGAACAGTCAGTGCTCGAAAGCCGACACGATCTGTCTTCGAACGAAAAATCAGTCAAGGCCTTGTTGAACTTTTTGCGCTGTAGTGGCCTATTGAATAGGCTATAGCACCTACGCTCTCTTTTTTCTTTTTTTTTCGCACACCTACTTTTCTCTTCGATTTCTTTCTCATTTTCCTTCCCCATTTCCATTCCCCCTCTTTTAGTGTTGAGTAGCAAACCCGATGCTACAATACCTGGTTGACCTCCCTGCCTTTCTCTCGCTTTATTCTCTCTTTCTCTTAACCTCAAAGGCAGTGCCAGTGGAAAATATCTCCTGTGCATTGTTGAACAATAAAAGTTCGCTGAGTGCGCGGTAACTAAAAGCGGACTGCACAAAATCGTGTCCAATCGGTGTCTTCCGTCTCTCGTTGCCCATTAGCAGCGATTGGCACGTTCCAGTAAAAAACACCGGTCCATCACTGTGTGCTTTGCACTTCCCCAGGTTTCTCTCCTGCGCAACACCGCGATAAGCGCCAGCGTCAACGCCGCCGTCAGTGTAGGTGTTAGCACCCGCTGCTTCGCATCTACACATGGTTCTTTTTAGCAAGAGATGGTGAAATTTTTTAAACATGTAGAGAAGAAGACATTCAGATATGCATACCACTTTGATCCGTGCACAATGCTTTCAGGTTATGGGGCACCACTGTAACCGCACTCAAACACATTTGCTGTGCAATGTAGGTTGTCTTGGCTCTGCTAATATGTACTAAGGTATATGCAGTAGGTAACCTCTCAAACTTTTGTATTGACCCCTGATGGATCTTTAAACTTTGTGCAATATTCCAGCAAGTGGATAGAGCACATCAAAGAAAAGGATACGGCCTCAATTGTATTGCCACCTCACCATTTACCACTAGTGTTGTATTGTGTCATGAAACTCGCAGTCAAGCTTTTTGTGCACTGCCGTGCCACCAGTGCTGTGATACCACAGTGTACGCAATGTTGGTACTGCCGTACTACGATTGGATGTCCCGAGATTATTTGCTGTTCTCGGCAACTCAATGAATCCTCACGAGACAGAAAGAAAATCAAGCTGTTTAACTTTTGAGTATTACAACTGGGAACAGAATTTCGATGCTTCTTGCAGTTGTGTTGATTTTGACAGATCAGAAGCCGTCATAATTATTCAGCAATTTTGAGAATACACACTATGCCTTTTTGAAAACAAAGGAAATGTGCTGAAGAACCAGCATAAAGAATAAAGCAACCGCTCCGTTTTATGAGCAACCATGTTTACAGACGGTCCGAACTGAGGAAAGACAATCAAATTTTATAGCGAAAACAAAAAGAAGTCATTATGTCATAGCTCAAGATGGAAATACTATGCAGAACACCATGAAGGTATTATGAATGAGTGAGTGTACGAGGACTTAAGGTGCACTTGTATAGAAGGCACAATAATAACACTGCAAGCCTAGCAACACATATTGTTCGCAAATAATGAAAAAAAAAATGAGAAAGAAGCCATACATATATGTCAGTCTATTGCCCAACAAGTTTATAGAATGATAGAGGAGGAAATATACAGAATGTGTTGTATGCGTGCAATAAATAAATATAAGGAAGTACGTTCGATAGAAATGAAAAGAAAGACAAGTATGTCCTGGCAGGATCAGTGCCTCAAGCCTATTTTTTATATTTTAAAGAAGATGCTTTGCCAACTTCGAAAAAAGAAAGTAAGCACACTCTTCAGAAATGTCCTAAAACGAAGCTCAATCAATGATTCACATACAATTTTCAAAAGTGTGGCATGTAGTACTTAACCATTAGGAATTCTCTTTTGCTTTTACACGAGCTCGCACGTAGCGAATGAGGTAGCCTTTGTGCAAAAAGTATGTACAGCAACGTTCGCAGGTAAACAGACGCCCTCACGTGTTGGTTTATATGTGGTCCATAAGCCTGCCATTTTGAAAAAAAGAAAAAGACACATGGGTCTCAGGAAAAATGACAATCTTGTGTGGGTGCACATGTGCTTCATTCCATTGACAGCTTCGAAGAACGCCCTCTTGCACACATGACACTTGAAGGGGTGCTCGCCCATGCGCTTGCACAAGTGTCTATCCATGTGGTTCTTTTTCACAGCTGTGTACGGGCACAGCAAGCAAGAACGCAGGTGACATTCAATGGACCTGAGCGACTGGTACAGCTCCAGGGACCCCCTGATGTCAAAGAACCTGCAAGGTTGCAAGAAACACGATAGGGCGACGCAAACAGCAGCCATCACAACCACACGAAGGGGGGGAGTCGCCCTTAACAATTGAGACAGATTATCACACTTCTCGCAAAGATGGAAATAATTTTGTACTGTTGAACCTCATTATCTCAAACATCAGTATAGCAAATTACCAGTACTATTGATATAGCAAACTAAATAAAAACTTTGGCTGGTCAAGCTTGTCAGTGATATTTCATTAATTATGAAACAAAACCAAAAACGACAGAGCAGCCGTAATATTGGCTGTAGTGAGGGAGCATTTGGTTTGCATGAGAGTCAGAACCTGAAATGTAGCATAAAAAGCAAAAAGATATAGAGGTTATCAAAAAAAAAGTGGCTGTGACATTAAAAAGTTTAGTTCGTACTGTGGCTACAAAATGTGCTGCAAATGTTAGTATTTGAGCTCAAAAAAGCATTTTTGACTGCTTGCACCGTCTGAAGCATATGAAGAGAATGATTCCAGTCTATTAAAGGGGAGCTGAAGCACTTTTTTTTTAAAAAATGACTTAGGAGCGTGTAGGGACAGTTTGATTCCTGCTGAATTCAAAAAGCAATGTGAGAGCCCACAAAAGTGGACGCAAATAGCACTTTTTGGTAAAAAAAACAGCCAGGTCTGTAGGGAATGCACTGCACAGTCACAGCAGAAGCCAGAAGAGCGGCCTTTCAGAGCCTTTTCTAAATACTGTTTGGGTAACTGCTACAAGCACACTTGCTCAGTACCTCCTACACCGTAAACAGTCATAATTTTTTATTAGTAGGCAGGCATACACTATGCTATCCTTCGTCATTTTTCGGAGGAGCGTGGTATCCGCTACACACTTGCTAGGATTTTGTCCAATTTTTTTATTAAGTGGCTGACGAACAAAGAAATATGCCTGAAGTGGGTATGCGCCACAGTTAATAGGTGATCACGAACAGGCTTTTGTAATGGGTTAGAGTATTGCACGACTCACTCGTTACACAATTCACATTCTGTGACGCCTGGTTGTCCCTTTCATGCTCTAAAACGGTTTATTACTCATTATACCACAATTCCTTTCCCAATATCAAGCGAGTTTGGAAACGAGTTCCAAGCACTGGCATGGCTCAGCGGTAGAATACTGGGCTGGTATGCAGGAGACCCATGTCAGAATCCCATTGTGTCCTTGGTGTTTTATTTCCTTATGTTTTTTTCTTATTTCTTGCGATACTAGTAACAGACACCAGCGGCGGACAACTACGGCTGTGCACGTGACCAGTGTTCTGATCTCATAACAGCTTTTGCTGTAAAACAGAGGCTGTGGCCGCCAGGCTTCTTAGGACGCCGAGCGAACACGATGACGTCATTGTCGGTATGTCCCAACAACAGCACTGCTGAAACTTGGCCAGCTTGATTAGTTCTAGCAACGGCACATCATAACTTAGCCACAGAGACTACGATTGAAGATAAGAAAGAATGCTTGCTTATGTAGTGCTCGGAACATGGAACGCATTTCTTGCTTTGCTTACGAAGTCAATTAAGCAGAGGGGGAAGGTGCGTTTGGATAAAAAAAAAAGCTACACTGCAGTTACCTTCCCTTTGCATGCTTCACATAAAACCGTTTCCTATGGTACGTGAGATTGGCTGAATCTTTTGTTTCTGTTTATTTCTATTTTTCTTTATATTTTTTCGCTACCACTTTCTCTGTAATCATTGGCTCGCGTATCAGAGTCATCGTACCCTACGCCGGACAAATAGACGCAACTCTTTTTGGAGTTAAGCAGAAGATGACGAAGAGGCCAAAGAGAAAGCATGCTGATTTATTATGATGAACATTCTGGTTCGCAACTTGAAGTTTCTTTCAGCTTAAACAACTCTACTGTTAAGGTTAGAATGAAGCGCTTGATCTATGAGATAATACGCGTACATGATCTTTAGGGCCTGTTTTTCGCATGGGTGGTCAAGTGGTAATTGAGGTGGTCTCTTCGTGAAAAGGACGCATTGCAGAGGTCACAGGAGAAGGGACGCTCTCCTGTGTGGGTCCGCATGTGCTGGTTGAGCTTGAACTCCTGAGTGAATGCCTTAGTGCACAAGTGGCACTTGAAGGGACGCTCGCCCGTGTGTTTGTACAGGTGCCTATACATGTGATCCCTTCTTTCAGTCGTGTAGTCGCACAGCCGGCAGCAATGCTGGCAACCTTGGATGGACACGAGAGAGTTGTACAGCTCTGGGGAAGCCGACAGCGAGAAGCCTGCAGAGTGACGGGGAATGCAAGAGATGTGTGGTTTTGCAATGAAAATTCATGTTGTATATACTCAAACCATAGTATAACGAACATGATTATAATAAAATATCAGTTATAAAGAAGTAAACGAAAAATAGTCTTCTAATAGACAGTGTTAGCAATATACCTTTATAACAAGCTTTCGATATGACGAACTTATTTTCATGTAAGATGCAACTTTGTTATAGCGAGGTTTCAGAGTATATACTTTAATGCTCAATTCAAATATGTAGGTAGTTGTAAAGTGAGTTGCAGAGTTCTTGCTTTGTGCAATGACAATGTGTAAGGTATAGTTCATTTTAGATGAACTTTTTATGCCACTAAACATTTAGGGTTCTGAGCCATTAATGGGTCATATAGCTCCACATTAAATGTAGAATGCAAATAACTATGAAGAAAGCACGTATCAAAGACTTTTAAGGAAGAAAAAATTGTAATGCAAGAATTCTTGGAATCCTCACGGTTGCTTGCTTTAGGTTTGCAATTATACAGACAAGATTAAGTTTTGAAAGAGATACTTGTACCTTTCACATGTTAAGGAATATGTGGGCAAAATTTGATCCTCTATTGGCTATCTGAGGTACCAAAAACATAATATTTAAGCTCAAGTAGTTGTCCAAAAATGAATATTGAGAAAAATGCATTTTAAAGGTATAAGTGAAAGCTCATCTATGTGACAAAGATATTTTTAGCAATTTCTTCCTCCATGCAAGCTTGGCAAATATTATTATTTTAAGCATATGGCTTTAGTGAACTCCCCATGCGAAATGCAATGGCAAGCAGCCAGATAGTAATTTCCAGGGGACTCTAAACAATGAGCTCATCTTAGCTTTTAGTAGCCACCTTGTGCTTATTAACAGCGAGTTTAGCCCTACTTTGAGTTTAATTACAATCTTCAGTTTTTTTGTTATGAAAGTAGATGAATTGAACTTGTGAAAGCAAAATAAAAAAAAATATTTGACTTTTAGGTAAACTTGCATTATCAGACTCCCATCTCCCTTTAACAATGAAACTAATTTGACGAAAGGGAGTATAGACCACAAAAGACACGACTTTAAACTGAGTTAGACAGGCATGAAATAAACCCACAGACAACAACTGCACACACACAAGAACCCAACGCAAGAAATTATGCCAAATGTGACCCACCAAACCCAACCAAGAGTGAGTGCTGCCCTTTAGCAATTACTCCGATCGCCACATTTGTTGGTAAAAACTGTAATAACCCATACTAAACTTGCAAAGTCAGCATTATGCCAACAGTGCTACGATGCAGCAGATGTCACACAAGATAATATCTGTGTAATCGGCTAACTGCGCTTAGGACATATTTCTTGTTTTCAACACACAGAGATATGGGTAAGATATCGCACAGAGTTTGATACTGTGCTAAAAACGCTGACAGTACTTAATGCATCCAATGATAAAATTTGTAAACCTGGGAAGTGCGTTCGAGCCAAAACTTCGACAAGTAGACCCGTCTTCTTCAAGGCTGGGTCCAGTTCGAGCCTTGGAGAAGACAAGCCCACAAGTTGAAACGTCGGCTTGATCATCCATCCCCTATGTACAGTTTCCTTCGTCCCGAACTTTCATCTTCCTATTCCTGGTGTTTTGGGGGTCATGCATTCAACAGTACTCATGCAATGTAGAATAACAGAATGATAAATTGATTTAGAGTATAAAAAGAAAGTCACAATGAAATAACAATAACAAAAGAATTTGCAGATATAAACAAAGAATACATGCCAGTTCTGGAGTATCAATTAAATCACATTTGCTGATGGAGGAGGATGCCGCCAGAAGAGCATTTATTAATCCATAATTTTTTCTTCCTCACTCCCTAGAATGTACGTTAAATGCTACTAGAAAATGCTGAAGGCGTATCCAGCTATCAATGTTTCTACAAGTGACAGTACTACCTGGAAGCATAAGTGCAAACTACTGAACGGGTATATAGAATGTGGGTCTTGAAGATGTTCCGCATTATCAGAACACACAGACACAATCATGCTGTCGGGCAAACCAGCACGGGTAAATTTATTAAACTGCTTTTACATGATTTGTGATACATTTATTGAGCTTATATAATTTTCGTGTGTTCCGAGGGTGCAGATCATCTACAGAACCCACAAGAAATAGGCAAAATTCAACGTAATACTTCGGCTTGACTCAACTATGTTGTCCGCTAGAGCATCACAGAGTTTTTTTTTTCTTTGTTCTGATAAGCGAATAGAGATTAGGATCATGAAGCCTTTTTTTTTCTCGCAATTTCGAAAGAATGGCAAGAGTTAACTTGGCTCATAGAAGAAAAAAAGCACACGGGGCAACGCGTCATATCACCGCCACAATAATAAATCAACTATGTCACGTAACAGAGGCAACGGGCACATGGAGTAGTAAACAAACACTCGAGCCCTTATCACAACGGAAACCTAATAGCATGTTGAAATTCTGTGTCACCTAACAGCTAAAGGCAATACATATGAATTGGGAAGCAGTCATACTTAATCAACCCCTTTAAGAGCTGCTGTGTCACGTAACGAAAAAAATTCACAGAGCCTGCTTGAGAAGCCAGTGAGCTGGAATCTTGGCACAGTCAAAACAATACCGCTTCTTTGTCAATTTCTATAGACAGACCTGGAAGAAGACAAACATCACCGTGAACTCCTGCGCAGACACTCGTGATACAAAAGTGCGCATTTTTTTTCCCTCTTTACTAATGAAAATATACTAGCTCAGGGCCACGGTGCTGCTATCAGTGCTCACTGAGAAAATCAATCAGTTTTATTAATAAGTGCACTTGTAGAGTAGCCTGTACAGTAAATTAAGACCTAAAAAATAAACCTAAACCTTCTTTTAAGAGGTAAGCTGTCCTAATGTACATGTAGTGCCACATTCACTGTATAGTTCTCTGTGCATCGGAGTTTCACGGAATGCCTTCTCTTGTCCCTGAATGCCAGAGCGTGAGGGCGCCGGCGGGCATGTGGCGTCGTCCTGCTGTGGCTGCTGTGACTACACAGCTAACGATACGCAAATTAGCCAGCTGCCATGGACGTGGGCACATGTCATAGAAATTTGGATGTGTGGCATGATTCGTAGAGAGCAGAAGGAGCGATATCTAGCTGACTCTGAGAATTAATTATAAATACTAGACCACATGCCCTTCTAAGATGTTTGTCTCGCGTGTTTTCTGGATCCTCGACTACTGATTCGGCATTTTATGACTATAATGAGGTATTGCAGGGCCCCTTTAGTAAGTACATTACAGCTCTCAATACATGGCAATTAGTTCATATTTTGCATGTGTGCCACACAAAATAAAATCAGGAACCACATGTTGAGCACATCAAATGTACAAAGAATACATAATTAAGAAAAAAAATGCATATGCAAGTACAAAAGAAGTATATACAGTATCTATATTTATAAGGCACGAATGGTATCACAGTGGCAGCTGAAGAAGGGTGCTTTCAGATTTCTATTCACTAATCTAGAATTTGTCTCTTTAAATGAATTAGTACTTGTTTCATGTTTTTTCAATCATCGCAAGCTATATGACAGTTCAAAGTCTTGAAAATAACCATTACTGATGATACTATGTCTTTGTACACAATCTACAAAATTTATATGTAAAGATAAGCCTAATTCCTATTTCTAGACCACCATGACTGAATAATGTCGGCGCTGATACATTGCAGCTTTTTTTTTTTTATTTACCCGTACAACAGCACACTGTTCACCAATATAAAACCATTTTTTTATGATTCAAGTCGGCCATGAACAAAACTGCTCTTGCACCTTGTTGAGACAAGAGAAAGGCATCGAGGAAAAAAGGTGAGCAGTTTTGTGATTTTTCACAACTGACACTTCACAGAATAGTGAGCGCTCCTTTGCACACTTTGCAAGTACTGAAAGTTGGCTTTCCCGCAAACACACTTTCGAGATTGATTTTTTTTTTTTTTTCAAGGTGCTTGTTTTCACTCTACGTGAATTCACCCCTCCGCAGTCGAGTGAAGATTCGCAAGCACTACAGGCTTTTTAAATATCACTGTCAGAACGCCATGCTTGATGGTAAACTCTATGGTTTATAGAGAGGAAGGGAAGAGCAACAACAACAACAAAAAAGCAGGGGCGAATGTCTGAAAAAATATATATATAGTTTGCTTGCTGGTCTGTTTACATGGAAAGTAATTGTTCGCACACGTATGGAAACCATTTTGGGAGGTGCCAATTGTAAATGAATCACAATCAAACTGCAATGTTATGTAAAACAGCAAAGAAATGAAAGGTTTTGAGGAAGCTTGTGAACAGGATTTCTGGAAATGTCCACACAACACAGCTTCATTGACATTTCTTAGGATGCGCGGAGAGATCTGTAGCAGTACAGAAGGAAGATATGAGCTTATTTATCATGCACAAGCATTATGTGCATAAAATGATGGGGATACTGGAATAAAAGCTGCATAGTGTCAGATATAAAGTCCCTTTTCCTCGAGAAATCTGCAACTGAAAACGGGTCGACAGGTAAGACAACGCATACACCCGAAAAAATCCAGTACAACCAACTGTGATTATCAATCCTGGTGGCACACTCTTTCGAGGAAGTATGTTGAGCTACTGTTTTGATAGTTGCAAATAAATTAACAAGAACAGATGTAGTACAACTGTAGTTGAATGATTCTGTATTCGACCTCACTGTTGGGGGAATAGGGTGGATATGGGCGATCTGACACCGTCAACCAAATCTTGCCACAACTACGCTTTCGAACGGTTTGAACAATGATAACATTCGTTTGCGCTCGATGCAAATCGGGGGGCGTACGAAGTACGCCTGATCGACACTCCGCAATGAAACCTCGGTCCTCGCATTTAAGACCGAGACGTTTTGGCAGCGGGACGACGAATCCAAACGGGCCATTACGTGCTAGCGGCCAAGACCTATCGCAAGCGGATACGTCGCATTGCAACGCTACTTATCGTTTCGGTTAAGGCGCTTCAGCATTTGTTCCAATCTGGACAGGACGCTACAGATAGTTTCACAAGAACCAGAAACCGACATTCCATTTGCACAGTCACCAAAAGGATACAATGTTTTCGCACAACAGAACGGTCGATGCACAACACGTCCTCATCCTTGAGTTTGAGAGTCCGCGACGCCTCGCGACGCCCCGAAAACCACGGCGACTCAAGTTGAACTTTCGCTTAATAGCTATGCGCGCTTTCCCTGGTATCCAAGCGAGACCCCGGAGTGCCACAGCCACACCACTGGGTTTCGCAAATAAAATAACGTCCTCAAATGATTTTCGACAATGAAAGTGGCGCGCCGCCATCGACATATGCCAACAAAAACACGTGATGTGTTGTTATGGTGATGCACTGACGGTAGGGCTGCTGACCATGCCTCCGCTGCGGTTTGGTTTCGGTTTCGTATAGTAGGTAAACTTTTGACATAAGTATTTCTTCTTGGGAACGAACGAGCGGTTTAAACGGAAGGTCGTTAACCAAGAATTTGTGTAAAAAGTAAAACAAACATTATAGTACTTTAGAAAAAACAAAACAAAGGTCCTACTCAGACTAGAGAAACGTTCAAGTTAGACTGAAAATGTTCAGTTCTGATATTTTCGTAAAGTAAACAGAAAGTTTAACCTATTACTAAGCAGTGTTTATCAATTACAACGCAGAGAAATGAGGGTTAATCCCTCTCCCCCAATTTTTCCAGTACGCAAGCGAATGCACCTTTATCATTGCGTACAATCTCTAGATATATCAATGCAAACAGCAAGCATATACTAGCATTGTGCCTTAGTTAGAAAGTGATACTACACTCAAACCTGATTATAACAAAGTTTTATCTGTGAGTTCGTTATATCCAAAAATTTGTTATGAAGGTTTATTCTTTACATATATTGCAAGACAATTTTTCATTTACTTCGTTATCACTGATATTTCATTATATTCATTATATTTGTATTTATACTTCATTATATTTCTTATAGCGAGGTTAGAGTGTAGCTATCTTGTCACTCACTCTAGGTATACAACGTTTGACCAGTTTTGGCATAGCTCTTGATAGATCGATGTGACAAAAATATTATAGCCCTATTGCGAGCAGCCAAAATTTTTTTCATAATAAAGACGAGACAAGGTAGAATTTTACAAGAAGAAGCATTTGATTTGTGGGGTTTAACGTCCCAAAACCACCATTTGATTATGAGAGACGCCGTAGTGGAGGGCTCCGGAAATTTCGACCACCTGGGGTTCTTTAACGTGCACCCAAATCTGAGTACACGGGCCTACAACATTTCCGCCTCCATCGGAAATGCAGCCGCCGCAGCCGGGAATCGAACCCGCGACCTGCGGGTCAGCAGCCGAGTACCTTAGCCACTAGACCACCGCGGCGGGGCTTACAAGAAGAAGCAAAAGACTAGGCTGGGTTTACAGGGCTTGGTGTCCTAAAGTTATGTAGTAAATGGCTGATTTATTTTGCCACCTGGGGTTCTTAAATATGCACTGACATAGCACAATCCAACATTTTGCCTCCATTGAAATGTGACTGCCAAGAGCACGATAAAAAATGTTTTCCGAGTCAGCAGCCAAGCATAGTAACCAATGAGCCATCATGGCTAAAAGAAGGAGAAGTAAAAAGTGGAAGGCAAAGTTTAGAATTAGTCTAACAGAAATTTGATTTCTGTTACAGTAATTCCAGAAAATCAGCCAGGAAGCAAAGGTTTGGACAGAGAGAGAGGAAAAGAGGTATAGAGACAGAATAATTTTTATCATGCAAAAGTAGTTTCAACGAGACATCCTAATCTACAAAACATCGAGCTCAGACCATATCTCAGGCACTCATGGCCAGACTTATCCTATCTGCAATTATGAAGCTGGTCAAGGTTTTCTTCAAATTATTATCAGTGTAAACATTTGAGATGATTAATGGTGATTGTCTGTAGCATGCTACTATTGAGTCATTTTAATAAGGTAAGTTTGATGAGGGTGGAAAAAGGCATTAAAAATCTTGGGCTAAGGTTTTACAAGTGTGTAATAGACTATGATTAGTTTTTGTTGGCGGGTGCTGAAACTGGATTCTGACAAAAGTAAGCAGGATCTCATTTAGCAGAATTAAAAATCTTGAGAACTTGTTGTAACCATGTAAATGGTTGCAACACAGAGAGAGAGGTTGATTAACAGAAAGGCAAAGAGGTCGATCTGAGCGTTAGTATGCTCTAGCCTGCTACCCTACACCAGGGGAAGAAAAAGAGTAATGAATGAGGACTGAGAGGTAAGGAGGTGATTACATACAATCCCGTCTAGTCGATATCCAATTTAGTTGCATGTAGCAGGGCTCCAACCGCTTTTACAACCATAGTTGCACTGTTGGCATCAGGCCAAGGGCCAAGCACAACCTCATCATTTATGAACCTATAACGATATCGTTCAATAACCAAATAAGTCTTTGTCATTTATGCGCATATGTTGAGCAGCCGCAAGATACGTGCTCAAGTGCTTCCAGCACTGGACAGTGATCACAATCGGGACCGGTGTCACTGCAGCCGGTGAGATGTGCATAATGTCTTGTATAAGTGAAACCTTAAGGAACCAGAAAAATATGTTTTATTTAACAGAAGTTACGTTTACTGAGAGGAGAACGGAGGTGTCAAATTCAAGAACGGAACCAATCATAATAGAGGCAGTAGTTCCACTCAAGCAGAAACTTTAAGAGATTTTCTGTGCACTGAAAGTCTACCTTGTATGGGATACATGAGGTGTACAATATTTGTTCTGCGTGAATGGTACTAAGACAAGCAACAGTAGCTGTACAAAGTGGCAATATGTTTATGCAAACAAAGGCTCATCTAACTATAGACAGTTGCATCGGGTTGTATGAGGAGCTCTTATGCATGACTCAGCTAGAAATCCTATGGTGCATTGTAACGCCACATGCTACTGGATCTAACATTGTGCGAAAACAGAACACAACCCCGTTTTAGGGCTCCTTTTGATGGCGAGATATGTGGTGCTTGAGGCTGTGTTTTTTGTAAATGATGCATTGTAAGGCTCCCGGAAAAAACGACATTTTTTCTTGTGGGTCTCGACACGATAGGTGAGGTTGCCGTCATGGGAGAACGTGGCCGGACACAGGTGGCACTGGAAGGGGCGCTCGCCTGTGTGCATGTGAATGTGTATTTTCATGTTGTGCGAGCAGGTTGTCACATAGCCACACCGTCGGCAGGAATGCGTCCCGTAATGTTTAAAAACAAGACTCGTGCAGCGGCAGCGGTGCTGATGCGAAAGAATCTGCAAAGTGACCCAAAGAATAAGACGATAATGCAAATGACATATGGTACACTAGAGAAAGAATGCTACACTTGCAGGGGATTGCCATGCTTTTTTGCAATGCATGTGATAATGTTGTAGAACCTAAACCCAACAATGTTACAGTGACAGGGCAGTAATGCAACTCATCTCCTCCGAATTCTCTCTTCTCACCACATAGGCAACCATGTTTAAAACGTGCATTAGCGCTTACAGTACTGGTGGAGATCAGGAACACTGAACACATTTTTCATGTTAAAATGGCAAATGCAAAAAAATTGTTTTTATTTATGCAAAAGTCCGGATCCCGTGAGCTGCTTCTCCGTCACGTTCTTTATGCAAAAGACACACCTAATAAATAAAGCGCCACAATGCCATGGCACAGCCATAAATTTCTTTAGAGGGGCGTTCGACACCCCTACACGTAGGCTTGTGCACGTGTTTTTGTGCGCACATAAGTATATACATCGACAAAATGTGAAAATTTCAGGCAGGGGTTTGGTTTGAACCAACCACCCCTGGCTATGCCAGTGATTCATGCAATGCGGCACAACAAAGGCACCGAGGTCCTTTAACGCATCAAGAGTTCAAAATGAAATACAAATATCGAATAAAGAAGTACCATACAGAAAAATATATAAAATTCAAAAGGAATATGCAAAACCTTTCTGAGGCATCAATGGCAGCACATTTGTAGATAAAGCAGGATTATGCCATATTTTTGTTCAATACAAAAATTTACTTTCCTCTATTATCGCACTTGTATACGAGTGTCCTCGCTTGCTTCAGTGTATGTTATATGCCGCTAGAGAGCATTTACATAACACAAATCACTGATCAGCCTTTCTAGCACTGCCAGAAACAGATGCTTGATTTGCAAAGCAAATGTCTAAAGACAGGAACAACTTCACACCACACATCATGTTGACGAAGCTACGCCGTTTGATGATGCAAAGAGTGTTTGATTGATATGTGGGGTTTAATGTCCCAAAACCACTATATGATTATGAGAGACGCCCAAAGAGTGTTTCATTTACCCAAATAAGTAAGCACTATTATGAAAGCTCTTCATTACTTCATCACTTCAGCATAAAGACAGGACATGAAGTAAATTCAACACGACAGTTTGGTGGAAACATGAACAGGGCACAGGGGCAAAATGGAAGTGGTTATATCGCTGTCACAATAACAACTAAACTAAATCGCTTCAATAGAAACCAGCTGATAATGAAGCCAGGAAAGGAATGAGAGATGTTAGTAGCACAGGATCAAAAGGATTATATTTAAAACATTGCAATTTACATCCCCTGTACCTTCCTAGGCTTCATTATATGATTGTTTTCATTGGGGTGGTGTCAAGCAAGGAAAAGAGCCCTCAAATCTCTCTTTATTCATATCGAATGAGCGTGCCATATAAAAGCAAACAAGTGGATGCTTCGCCAGAAGCAGAATTAGTTTCAGTGGCCGCACACGCAACTTGGTCATTTTTTAGAAAGCATGGTCCCATCTGTAACAGAACAGATATATGAGTTAAAGCCAGCACAAATGTCAACGCACAATATTTTCACCTCTGTATCGATAATCTTATTTTTGTATGAAGCATGGCTCGACATTTTATAATGTAATACAGCCCCCTTATAAAGAGCACGACACAGTGCAGAATGTTGTACTTTATTGTCCATGTGTCCTCGTACCGTCATGAATTTCCAACAAGTACTAGCCTTACCCCCAACCCCATTTGTGAACCTCATTTACCTGTCAAGATTCTATTTCATAAGTGCAAAGTAATGCATCTCAGTTCAAGGGCAAAGAGTAGTCTGACTTTCAATGACAAAGAGAGACAGGTCCAGCTAGAGGCAGAGAAAGGGCTGCTGAAATCTTGCAGGAGAGAGTAAAAGGAAAGTCGGAGACACGAGCAACACCAAAGCGAGGAAACTCTAGGTGGGTGAGTACTAAACTTTATTGAGGTACCGAAGTGTTCTCCAGTTTTTATTGCAGGAGGACCGCAGGAGGCT